TCTTTTCTATGTTCTATATTCCACATTCACCCTTCAGATGTTGCTTTTCACTGATAGCTTCATTTAATTGTGTTAGCACCAGTGAGATCTCCCATTATGCTTCAGGACAGTTCCCATCAATATTTGCACGTGGCCTCTTTCAGGTATTGACCTCAACAATCTAATTCATAACCACTGAGCCACAAGCCAAGGACCATGTTCTGTAGATGTTTATGTATTCTGTTACCATGCTCCCTTGCACATTGTACAGCCTTTGTTTCACCCACAATACAAGTACATCTTTCTGTTACATTTTTGTTGCTCCTTTTAGTCACTGACACCATCTTGTCTGATGTGTTGCGTGTCGCAGACCATAAAATTATATACATGAGCACAGTATTTCTTTCAATAATCTCACAATTTTTTCTCTGAATAAGAACAAATCTTTTTGACAGATAATTCTTCAGCTTCCTGATGTACACTTTTCAGCTGCTTCTTCTCCTACTATGCATTTAACTTTTTTTTTACACTGCTGCATTGTGAAATCCCAATTAATTTATCTCCCCATCCAGCTGGCACCTTTCAGGGCCCCACCAGCAGTACCCAAGCTGCTGTGACAGGAAGGGCAGCGTTCCCACCCGCTGCAGGGCACAGAGGCCAGCCTGACCTCTTGGGTTTCTGCTCTCCAGTTGCACCAACCAACAATATGTAGGTTTTCTTGTCACCCCTAAGAATGGATGAGACTTTATAGCTAGCATAGTGGGCCTTTATAGAAAACGAGTCAGACATATGCAGGACAGAAATGCAATATAAGTGCTTATTCCAGGACATATCTTGTTTGAGTATTTCTGATTTTTCAAGACCTCATATTGGTTACAAGTATTGACTGTTCACTTGATTGAGTATGTTGTTTCTAGTTTATCTCTCTGGAAGCAAATACTCTTTTCTAGACTTTTTTGGTTTTTTAAATGAAAGATAGCATTTGTACAAAAAGTGTCTGCTTTCCATGAAAAATTTCAAGGTACCAACACTAAGAAATCTTCAGATTTAGAACCAAGCTGTCTAATGTAAATGCTTCTATGACACAGTGCATGCTGGACTTCAGACACTGGAACATGCTATTTTCTGTGGGCCATGTTTCCCAGACAGAGTCAATCTGCTAGGATATGCTGTGGCTTTCAGATTCCCTGTGGTATCACGGAATATCAAGCGATCATGATGCATGGTAGGAGATATAGCCCTAATATAATAAAGCCAGTATATAGACAAAAAGGGAGGAGTGAAGCACCTAGTCAACATTTGTGTTTACATACTATGGCAGATAAGCTTTACAAATCCTGCAGTTTACAGCTGTAGTTATTATAATGCTGGTGGTGTACTGTCATGCAGGCTCAGTAATTCTCTCAGGTGGAATTATTAATTTTCACTCAACACTTGAAGCAGTTGGTTCTTGTAAAATAAAACATTGATTCTCACACCTGAGTGGCCAGCATCATCTATTTTGTTCTCTTTTTCATAAAGCAAACCTTGCAAACCTGCTGTAACTTATGTAAAATGGAGGCTGACAACATTTCAAGCAGAAATGCAGTTCACATTGAGGTCACGAAATGGAGTTGTCTTTCATAGTCCCTGCAGCCCATCCTAACAGGATTCCTAGTTGTGTCCCTGCAGCTTCCCAGTGTAAGGGGACCCTTGAAATCTCTGGCTCAAGATTTTTGAAAACACAATGGACAAAAGTCAAGACTTGATGCATGGAGTAATGGTAGAGGACTCTTCTAGCCTGGAGAACAGGAGGGACATAACTGTTGAGCATCACCCCAGCAGGTTATCTCCATAGGGTTGAGGCCACAGCCTCTGTATGAAGGCAATAGCTCTCTTCCCACAGTATGAAGCTGTTTGCTCTCTTTCCTAATTTCCCCTTTCTTTCTAGTTCTACTAAAAGAATTAATCTATCAAACTTGGTTGCCAGCATTGATTCAGAGCTGCCAGGTCTCAGAGATATATATCATATTTTGGGTACAGCACAGTACCTGTGCCATGTGACAGGGCAGGTTTACATTAGATGTCAGTACTTTATTGCCAGTAGTTTAGGAACTTCTTTCTGCATGGGATTTGCCAAGACAGGTACTGTTTCCAACTTCATTAGCAAAAAGATGCTAAAATCTGAAAAATTCAGAAAGAAAGGCTATGGTCTTTGAAACCCATTGAGAGTGATATTGTTTGCTTTGCCTGCACTGGATCTTCTGTTGCTGGACCATCTGAGAAGCCGAGACAAGCTTATACTTCTTTTACGTTTTGCATCATGTCAGCTCTGCACACCCAGCGTATGCTATACTTGCATAAAGCTTCCAGGGACCACAGCACTGAGTGTAAGCAAGCAGTCTCCTCTGCTACTTATGCTGAATGAGCAGTCCCCTCCTCCCCTGAGACCCAGTGTACCCTTTCTATCACACAGTCAGCCTTGCCTAGCCTGCGGCGCAAGAGTTTCAAGCCTGTCTTGCACCTGATTCCTCTTTGGATGTCAGCATTCTGAGCTGCTGCTTGCTGTGATTGCCCTAGGCCTTCTCACATCTAAATGGGTTTTAATGTCAGCTCAACATAAGCACAAGTACATAAGGAAAAGATGTATGGGGGTAAAACACAGGATGCCATCCCTACAAAACCCTGAAGAGTTTGTCAAGTCTTCGGTCCTAAGGTAAATACATAAATAGTAGGAAAAGGAGTGAGGCTGGGGACCTTTGCAGTAATGTGGAACTGCTAAGTGTATTTTGAGGTCAGTGAAATGAAAAGGTCTTATTTTCAGATTGTCAACATCAGGTCACCTTATCTGATTGAAAATCTGCCTATGTAATAATATTAAAGTATTTGAGGTATTTATTGTAAGCATCTTCTTTATGTCAAGAATGTGAATAGTTCCAGCTTTTGTAATAAATGGTGAGGCAAGGAGAGCTGGGCTAGGAAGCACAAGAGCAAAAAGACCAACCAATGGGTGCAGAGAGCAAAATCCTCCACCATTCAGGCTGCAGAAGTGTGACACAAGTTGAAATCATAGTTCTTTCACTGGTGTTTTAGGTACAAGCCATAAATGTTCCTCTGACTGACTATACCTCAGTTCTGTCTGGTTACATTCTTCCAGGAACGTAAGTGGCAAAACCTACAGCATAAGCCTGATTTCTGCAGATATATTTACTGTGGCTAAGGATGTTTCCAGAAAGATGACATTGTTAAAACTGTACTTTAAATAGAACAACATGGGGGTAAACCCCTGAAATTTGATCTTTCTAAAAAAGGTGGGATTTACTTGCTTTTCTTGGTTAAAGAAATGCAAATAAACCTTTGCTGAGCCTTTAAAGAAATCTGTTTAAATTCATCATCCCTTTATTCCAACATGACCATTTATCTGTAAGGTTTTTACTATAAAATGCAACAGCTTACCATCATGGGTTAAGGCTTGCATCCAACCTTCCATAAAAGAATGATGGATAGATCCCTGTACTCGCTAATATGCACTTTTAGTTATCTTTATACCTGAGTCAATTCTTCCATGAGGAAACCTAAAGATAGCATTGACCTTTAAAGGGATACCTGTAAAGAATGAATTGAGCAGGTTTTATTGTTCCTACAAAAATCTGGAACTCTTTTGTGTTTTCTTCAGTGCCTTTCCACTGAGTCTCAGCTTATTAACTGTGACAGGAGCATAGGCCTCTCTCCTTTAAATAAAACTCCTATAGCAGTGATTACAGGGAGCATATACATGTTTACATCCATTTTTCAGCATTCCTTCTTGCTGGTGTTTTTAAATTCAGTCAACATTTGGCCAAAGAAACAGTCTTATTTTGAGACTTTAAGCACCAGATCCACCCACTCTATGAAAACTGTTGAGGATGTGAATGAATAAACGATGACATGCCTAGTTCTTTCTATTTCCTATGCTCAGGTTTGGCTAATGCATTGTCAATGTCCTTTCCTTTTTGACAAACATGTTTTCTGTGAAATGCCAGTTCTGCCACAAGGACTTCAGTTCAGTTCTGTGACTTTGACTTTGTTCCATTATTTAAAAGGTATTCAGCTTAAGCAATATCTTCAGGCTGAAGCACTGATCTTCATTAGACATATAGGTCTCAAAGCTGCACAGTAAGATATCATAACATTTCTATAACATGTTTTATCAAGACATGTCAACTTCCAGTGCTAATGAGTTCATGCTGGAAATTTCTGTGAAAATCTTTTTAATCCACTCAAGTGACTTAAAGGGCAATGATCTACTTTAAAATACTTCCCTGAGAAGTTTACTCTTAGTTTCAGTGGGATCTCAGGCCAGCACTGAATGCTTCCCTTTCCCCTCGCATCCTGCATTCCATGCTACATAGTAGTTTCTAAGGCTGCAATTTCAGAATAACTTTAAGGTAACTCAATCCTGTATGTGAAATCTATTCCCCCCATCTCTCCTTCTAAAACCCAGGTTACTAGTTCCAGCTTTCACCTCTTGCTAGCACCAGTCTCTATGTTTGTGTTCATTGACCTAAATCAGAAATTGATCCAGCTGAATACTAACTTGAGAAAAGAGAAGAGAGATCTGTTTCCTGTTTCTCTGATATGAGTCACCCCAAGGAAATGCAAATGCCCATGTCAGGATTGAGCAGCCAGAGCTGGGCAGCTGCACAGGCTTGGGGCAGACAGAAGTGATCAAGTAACCAAGGTCTTCAAATGACATTTATTTAAACATGGCGGGGGGAAGAAATCACTTCTAGAGTGAAAAGATTTTGAATAATTTCACAAGATTCATTGTTATTTTCATGTGCAGATTCACTATTTATCAAGCATCCTTTGGCTTTGGGTTGAATATTGAAATACTTTGCAACAGTCATCTTCAGAAATAAAATTATAAGAAAGGTAGCATTGGAAAAAAACCATTTTTTTTTCATATCTGCATTTTCCTACAACCCTAATGTTTTCAACATTTTGCTATTGCAAATCACTGTTCACTGTTTCATGCAAGCTACTTTTTATTCTCTTTGCAGATCGAATTGCACAGAATATCATTAAATCTCATTTGGAGACATGTCAATATACAATGGAGGAACTACACCAGCTAGCGTGGCAGACTCACACATATGAGGAAATTAAGGTTTACCAGAGCAAGGTACAATCCTGTAATATGCTTTTTCTTCTGCTCCCTGTGGTTTGAAATTGTTAACAGTGTAATGTATTTGGCAAGGATATGCTGGTGAGTTTGACATAGGTCAAAATAGGCTTTTAAATATCTTTGAGCAGCTGGTTACCAAAAGCAAAGGAGCAACACTTCATAAAAAGAAGCAGCAGCTTTCCAACATGTTAGGATGTTTGTTGAGGTCAAAGCTCAGGCATGGTTATGGAACCCAGCTTTCCATGCTTTGCTTATTACCACAGGTCTAAACTTCATGCAGAAATTCAGTGACTTTAATGTGATCAGTATTAGATCCTCTTTTGTAAGGATTTTAAGAAAATAAGACAACCTGACTTTGTTTCTTTATCGTTTTGAAGACACATCCCCTTTTTATGTGAATAGCAAATATCTGTCACTTATAGACAATAGATCATGACAAACTGAAAGTATTCCTTAAACTGAAGTTGTTCAAAACTGGGTGGAAATGTGATCTCATTACACTACATTTTTGTTCTACCTCCAAGATTCTCAGGTCAAGTTCAGACTATTTCCCACTGGCACCTCTTCAGATGTAGTCTAGTCAACAGAAATCTTTGTGCCTCTTGCACCAGCATTACTAGCAATGATTCTTCAATCAGATTTCAGTTGGCACATGAGCTGATCACACAAGAGACACAAGAGACTCCAGCTTGTTCTTTAAAAGCTGAGGGGCTGTGCAGCACTAGCAAGAACAAAAATAGACCACAGCTTGCAGGGCTGTGGCATGCAAACCAAGAGCATCAGTTTACATTGCACACTTGTGTGTGCAAGGAAAATGATTACCAAGGAGACAAATTTTGACTCGATCCGTGTTCAGTTTGCAATGATACATTAATTATATATTATTTTAAGTTTCAAACTAGCAAAAATATTCTGTTGGATAACTTAACAGCACTGTGCTACTTCTCCCCTAAGCATACTCTGGGATGTTTACATTGTTTGTGCCACTGTTTGTCTATCTTCCAAAACCAAACATTAGAACCACATTTTAACATTGGACAATGTATTCTTCCCCTTTGAAGAGGCAATGACAGAGTTCAGATCACTGGGGCAATTGGCTTGTGAAAATAGCCTTCTAATGAAAACTGTGGGGTACCTTGAGAAGCAGAGGTGCTGCTGCCTCTGCCTGGGGATGGGGGGGAGTCTGAGGAGTGCACTTTTCTGTAAGGCCACCTGAAGAACTTAATGCATTGATGAACCCGCTTGATCACTGTTTTGCATTTCTGTGTGTTTTCCCGGCAGACCAGAGAAGCTCTGTGGCAGCAGTGTGCCATTCAGATCACCCACGCTATCCAGTATGTGGTGGAGTTTGCGAAGCGCATAACAGGCTTCATGGAGCTCTGCCAGAATGACCAAATTCTCCTCCTTAAGTCAGGTGGGCAAACACCAGAAGCTCGACACTGGTTTAGCACACAGCACATTAGAAATGTGCTCTGTTATTTTGTTCTACAAATCATTTTAATTTTGAAGGAGCTCTAATTTCAGTCTGTTTCATTAGCTACATTAACCCTTCCCTATTTTTCCACATTAATCATGTTACTGCCTTCTGATCCCCTTCCCTCTACAGTCAGTAGTGGTTGTTAAGTACACACACACACGCAGTCATTGCAGAAACTGCAGTCTCCAACCTGACATGTGGTGGAAGGACCCTGCAAATTGAGCTGGTCAAATCAGTCATCTGCCACCCTGTAAAATCCCCACTTGTCATTAGTGAAACAAACGTAGGCTCACAGGGCCCTGCCTCTGTGGTCATCTCTAATCTTTCTAATGAGACTACAGAAATACCCTCGAGCCACTGCACAGGAGGGAAAATCCCTGCTGGCGCCAGTTGGTTTCAGAATAAATGAGAGCGGATTACAGCAATGTGCTCCGGCCATGCTCTCTGTGCGTGCCTGGGTGTGCACGTGTGTGCATAAGGGCAAGGGGGAAAAGGGTTTCCTTCCCTGTTGTGGGACTTGGTAATTTCTGTCCTCTGGAAGAATCACAACAAGATTTATCGTGACTATGTAGTAACACCACCAAACTCAGGAGGACAAAATGGTATGACCAAATGAACAGCTACTGGTAATTAACTGCATTTACTCTGCCATATCAGTTTCTTGCTCCCTCTGTGTATAAAAGGCAGGATGCTGTGTGAGGCGGCTCGTTAAAGCATAAGAAGTGCTTCCTATTTCAAGAGAGACCTCTTCATTAAGGCTGAAAGCCAGTGTGATTCGGCGCTCTGTACACAGAGGGCTGTGGCTCCATGTGGGGCTGGATTGAGACAGTGGGCACAGGTGCAAAGGGAAGGGATACAGAGACCCTGGAAACATGCAGGCAACCTCCTAGAAAAACTGACCTGTAGCATGAGAACTTTTTTTTTAAAGCTCATACTAATTTCAAAAATTCTGCAGATGCAAGTGCACCCCAAGTAACTCACTTCATTTGGTTGACAAAGCTAACAACACAACTGCCTGCACCTGCAGCAAAACATAGTTATATTTGACCATACTGTCGGACAACTCTGTTTAGCTTCAACATGTATAAATATATCAGGTTTTATTTTCTGTTTTGCTGTTAACGCTGAGCAGGAGTTAGACAATCAGGACTTTTCACTCAAAAGTATATCTGCAAAAGAATACTCAGATTCAAGGTTCCTCTTACAGGAGATTTGGATTTAATTAAGGGATGCTTAAAATTTTTCCTTTCATTTTCCCAAACTGTATATTTTTGTGGTTAGGAAATAATAAAGAAAGATAAGGAGAAAAAAAGAAGGGTTGCTTTGGCTATTCTCCAACTTGAAAGAAAAACAAAGGAAACAGAAGTATAACCCAGTTTAGGAGTGTTTTTGGCAGTACTTTAACTTTTATTTTCTCTCTAAAAGCACTTCATGATGTTCTCCCCCTCCAGCCAAATGAAGCTGGAATTTAGATACACATTGAATTAAGCTACTTTTTGGTATAAAAAAAGGTTTAATTATTAAAAAGGGGTTTCAATAAATGCCTAATTTTCAGGATAAAATATTTCAAATTGAAAATATTTGCCCAGGTCTAAATTCATATTAAGTCCAGGCTGCCAATTTGCTGCAATGGGGCAAAAATCAACCTAAAAAAAAAAGTGGTTAGGCTGGACCAGAAATTACCCCTTTTTATACTCAAAGCAGACAGAGATATTTTTTCTCTCATTCAGAGACATATCATCTAGATGCCTTCAAAGACTGTCTGTCCCTGCTAATGTTTCTAATGATTGATGGCTTCCTAAACATTTTCTTGAAATTTCCTATATTCTGATATTTTGCAGTAATGTGTGGTACTTCTGCTCTTTTTCATGTCTGATAGGCTGCTTGGAAGTGGTTTTGGTGAGAATGTGCCGTGCCTTCAACCCACTCAACAATACTGTTCTGTTTGAAGGAAAGTATGGAGGGATGCAAATGTTTAAAGCTTTGGGTATGTTGGTCTTCTTCTTTTCAACCAATGACATTGAGCCACATAGTGACAGATTTGTCTTTCTGAAAATAGTGGCCCACAATGAAAATCTCCAGCAAATATTGAATCCCCAAACCTCCAAACCTCCAGGCTGGAACTGAAAAAGAAAACAGGTGATTCCACTAGCTGCTAGCAGTGATAGGTGTTTTTCTCTAATAAAAAAGAGCAGCATGAGGGTTTTTCAGACAGATTTCTTACTCTGCCATTCAAAGTTTTGATAAAACATGAGTTTATGGTAGGAGCCAAGCAGTTTATCTTCACAGTTGAATTATACTTGATATATCCACTCCCACTAATTATGTCCTGCAGAAGGCAATTTTAGCCCCAGCAATGAGGGGACTAAAATGATGAACTACAACAAAATGTAGACAAGGACTTACCTAAAATGCTGTTTTGCCTAAAACTTTTAAGCTTATTTAGATTCACATATTGAAAGACTTGCTTCATTCTCAACATGATATCAAGTGCTACCTGAAATGTTAGTAGCTAGATGGATGTCTTTTGCCCATCCATGAGACTAATACATTATCAGAAATTTATTCAGGACCAAACTCAGAGATAATTGCTTCAAATGCATATATTTATCATATAGGTATATATTTTTCTTATTTGCATATGGACAAACATAACATTACAAGTTTAAAGCATTTCTAAATGTGCATTAGTTGATTCATTTTGGTCTTTATGATGTTTTCACAAATTTTCATAAGTATTTGTTCTGTTAATTAATAAAATTACATATGTGAAAGTTATTTAGGACTAGTCATTCATACCTCTTAGATTTAGTATGTGTTTAGAAATAGTATTTATTTCCATATTGGGAAAAGAAAACCGTTTTCTAAGATCTCTGTGCAATTTTAGTACAGGTCATGCCCATAATTCTTGATAATTTTTGTGCTTCAGTGGGCGTTTTACTGATACATTTTCGGGGTAGGTGGAATTTTAATAGCTGATGAAAGGCACTTGTTTTAGAAGTACTGACATTCACTCACATTTTTTTTTTGACACCAAAACAATTGGCTTTTCATGGCAGGTTAAAGAGCTGATAAATTTCTAGCACTGATTTTGTCCTCTGTGGTCTGCAGGTTCTGATGATCTGGTGAATGAAGCATTTGACTTTGCAAAGAATTTGTGTTCCTTACAGCTGACTGAGGAGGAGATTGCCTTGTTTTCATCTGCTGTTCTGATATCACCAGGTAATTATTCATTCCAAACACCACAATGATTTTTTTTTTTTTCCCCCATCCTTGTCCACCTCTATTTCTACCTACTTAAACAGCTATTTAAGCTGTATTAAGCAATGGAAGAATAGCTGAATTACCCAAATATACTTCATTCTCTTTTTGGTAGACTGTCAGCTATTACACATACTGGAAATAGATCCAAAGTGTTGAGGGTAACAGACATAGAGAAGGATTGTGTGGACAAGCAGTGCAGGCTGGTATTCCTCCAGACCATGTACAGAGAAACATGGTACTCAAGGAGGTGCATGTTCCTCCTAGCATTTTCAGGGAGCTCAGAACTCACAGCCCTGGGCAGGCTATAGAGTCCCTACTGTGATGGGCTTTTTCTGTGGGGGTAAGAGCATGAGCAGTAAAAATCTGTATGAGGTCCTGAGTTTAGCTCCAGGTGAGAGGCGGTGATTCCAGGGGCAACATGCTGGTTTTCATATATTCATATATCATAACTCTGCACAGTCAAGCATGCGTTCAGTGAGTGCTGGCTGTCTCACCACAGAAAAGAGGGTTTTGTGATTGAATTGACTCAGAAGGTGGATCTAGCAGATAAGCTCACAGTTTAGTGTGGGATTTTTAAACATGCTTCAGGGGAGGTAGACCCCCCCCAGTTCCCACTAAAAGTAACTTCTAGAAAGGCCTTTGCAAAAAATCCCACCATTAATTATTTTTCCAACCTGTTTTGCTAATGACTTCCTCTAGGTCACTTTGCCCTTTTGCACATCTGTGGTGGAGATTATGTTAGGCAGAATTAGACTAGCACAGATGGTGTCAACATGTTCATTCTCATCATTAATGGCACCTACTGAAAGGACTCTGCTCCTTTTATTTTCCCTTTGAGCAGTTCTTGTGGTCATCTGCTCAGAGGTGAAATGGTTGAGCCAGTGCCTCTTCATGGTGTTAGGCCAGTATGTTCCAGCGATGATGCTCCAAACAGCCACCATTTCCACCTCAGAGGTGTCCCAGCTGTGCGCAGGGGTGAGAGCTGCCTGTGCACTGTCCCCCAGATGCCCTGACTTACTCTGGGACAGGGGACTTGCAGTGTCCTGATGGGTCCCTGTCCATCAGCCCTCCCTTAGTCTGAAAAGACCAAAGCTGTGAGCATGACAGAGATGTGCAGTCAGTGCTTGCTCCTGGTTAGCATTAGTGGCCTGTTCAGCAGACTGTCCTGGTGTTAGCTGGGATAGAGTTAATTTTCTTCCTAGTAGCAGGCATAGTGCTGTGTTTTGGATTTAGGATGAGAATAATGCTGAAAACACACAGATATTTTAGTTGTTGCTGAGTACTGCTTATGCTAGTCAAGGACTTTTCAGCTTCCCATGCTCTGCCAGGTGCACAAGAAACTGGGAGGGGGCACAGCCAGAAGAGTTGATCCAAACTGACCAAAGGGCTATTCCATACCATGTGACGTCATGCTCAGTATATAAGCTGTGGGGAGTTGGCCAGGAGGCAGCAATAACTGCTTGGGTATCGGTCAGCGGGTGGTGAGCAATTGCATTGTGCATCACTTCCTTTGTATATTATT